ATCCTGTAGTAATAATGTCCTCCTGAGCTATTGCGAGCACGGTTGCCAATCGGTTGAGTCTAATCAACTGCGCGAGACATATAGTGCACAAGTATGCGCGCAAACACAAATGCACTCTCTATTCCTTTTAATTTCAAATACCGATTTGACGACAATTTGACACAATCTCGATTCTTTATGGCAGAAAAACCGAGTAACTGTTTTTGTCCGATCCAGAACTCGAACACAGAACCCTCGGATCCGCAGCCATACATACTAGCTACCAGACCATCGAGGTAGTCACGTATTGCATCCAGCCGTTGGCAGACCTGCCGCCGGGGCGCCATAGTAGTTATGCGCAAGCGATCCTGCGGCGTCCCATTAAGGCGGAGGGGAGGGGAATGTCGGGTTTTAGTGGGTAGTGCCGGCTCTTCTAGCCGGTGAGCCCCACATCACCACCTGGGGGATCAGGTGGTATGCGTAAATGCATTTCCCGACATAAAAAAAAAAAAAAGTCACGTATTGCATAGTGCAACTAACTAAAAATATGCTCTTGATTTTATGCTGAAATACTCAGTCTAATCTCATACAATTTTACGATCCGCGATAATCCTCCAGTAATAGACTGATATTGTACGACTTGAATCTTGTGTTTATAGCCAGCGGTTTCTCTTATGTTACAGGCTTTATTTGTGAACATGTGTCTTTTTATTTCTTTACCACAAAATGTATATCATTTTTGTATAAAGGTAACTCGAAAAGAAAGTTTAAGCAGTTTAACTTTAACTAATGAAAATAAAATTGAACTACGTTTTATTTTTACCAAGTGATGCACTTTCGCTTCACTAGAGTTCGTTCTTAGGTACTGTAACTGGTAACTGAATTTTAACTGAACTTGGTAACTGAAATATAACAAAATTATGTAATTTTACATACATTTAATTTTTAAATGTATAAATGTTCTTTTGGAAATATATATTATATATAATAATAGGTATATGTCTTTCTGAATTAATACGTATATAAAAAATTTACGTTTTTGAAACGGCTTACCTCTGCTAAAATTTCACCCCTCGCCACTGATATATATAACTAGCGATTAAGTCCGTGGGTACGTTTTAACAGTAAAAAGTATCCTATATGTTGACCTGGGCAACCAGCTATCATCATACCAAATTTCATCATAATCTGTCTAGTCGTTTTCTCATGATGCGTTCCCAGACAAACTGACAGACAAAAATTCTAAAAACTATAGATTCGGCCTCTGTATCGATACTGATGCTCGATGACTATTTAACAGAATTTTATTATGTGTATATAGATATAATAGAAAATAATACCAATCGAAAGTCCTTTAAGTTTAATTTTTTTATAACCTTTTCTTGAATTACATCAATCCATTGATTCATTGAAAAATGTTTTACATAATTGGCAAAATATTAATATTTTTTCTTTTCAAAATATTATATTCGACAGTGAGGTGAAGTAAAATTAAAAAAAAACCACCGGACATGCCTTACTATTAATAAAGTCAAATATGACAGTACCATGACTAACTAACTGACTAATCAGTTTCCACAAATATAAAACAAAACGCTTCTTGAAATTTGATATGTTGGTGACGCACTTAATACACTTTCTGCTGGCATAACACTTTTTATTATTTAAAAATACCTTGATACATATTATCATTTTACTTTTCACCATCAATACATAGGGCCTCATGGCATAGCCAAGAAGTCATTCTAAAAAAAATATAATATATAATCTGGCCAAGATGAGTTGGCGGACTTCACATATTTTTCGAATACTTACTAGATTCTCTCGGACATGCAGGTTTCCTGACAATGTTTTTCTTCGCCGAAAAACAAGTGGTAATCAAGTTAGAAATTATTCGCACATGAAAATATCAGAGGTCCAAAATCCGGAATTTAAACCGTCTTCACTTGATTTCCCAAACAAGCGCGTGACCATGGGCTACCACTGCCTAAAACATATATGGTAACGAGTAACGACATATTATGATTGTATAACATAACGATTAAATTTGATATTTCAATTCAATTTTCAAGGTTTCCATTGTATATTTATAATATGTATATGTTCAAAGTTATATACGTGTAGTGTATCAACTATATGATATCCATAACACAAGCCTGATAGCTTACCATAGAACTAGATGGTGCTGTGTGTCCCAACATAATAATTTATTATTATTTATTCAACGATTTTAGAATGATATCTTGTCTAAGCCTGGTTTTACAGGTATTATCTATTAAATAAGCCGTTGTAACCTAAAATCTAGCAAAACCTTCATAGGCTTAACGAGATGCCAAGCATGACATAGCACGTGGCGGCCGCCTTTATCTTGAAATTTATATCTATAGTTTATAGTTACAAATAAATTAAAGTATGTTTAAAACAAAATAGTTATTTCATATTTAATATCATCATCACATTCTTCATGTCTGTCTATTTATACATATACGGCTGAGCTTATTTTAATATAACTTTCATTTTAGGTAACGTGACTTTGCATAACGTCGTGAGTGTATGTCGTATGTCTGTTACTTCTTCACGTTATAACGGTTAGACTAATTTAATTGAAATTCAGAATGGAGATAGTTTATATCCGATATAAGTATATAGTATTGTATAAATTAAAACGAAAAATGAAACAAAGCCGCGTGCGAATTCAAGTTTTTTTCTTAATAATAACTAGGTACTTGCTATATTAGTGTAATAATGTGCAAAATACAGGGTGTTCCAGAATTCCATCAGCCAGTATAATTACAACGCGCACTGTGTTTTCTTATCCCCTATACTCAGGTTACCTAATGACGTGGAGTGAATAATATCGATATTTTTTATTTTATTATTATATCTGAGGCGTAGATTCAAGTATTAATCATACATATCTATAATATAGACATATTATGTACTTTTCCAATCCGGCTAAGACACTTTATATAACCTATGAGTCAGTAAGAAGAAAATAGCTAAATGACTTTAAAAAAACAATATGCTTAGCACGCATACATATTTTTCTACAATACCTATAAATTTGCTATCTTTATAAAAGGAAATTCTTATAATAAAAGCTAGAAATTTTCATAAGATAACCAAATACAAATATAACGTAGCGGGAGTGAGTTTGGAAGGTGAATTTATGAAGAGGATAAATTTATTGAAAAGGTTAAAAAGTACATAACGTTTCGGCATATAATTTTTGTTAGGTTTTTCTATTTCACACTAGCTAAAGCCTCCTTGCTTCACTCATACCTAAATTATACGTAGTGCGCCTATTACTTTTTTTGTATACTTATTTATAATAAAAGGAAACTAATAAACATATTTTCTGCATACACTAATATTATAAATGCATATTGTGCTTTATTCAAAGTTAAAAATTATCAATTTAATTATATTTTCATCGATATTCTATCTAAAGCAAACAATCGATAACAAGCTATCAACTACACACATCCCTTATAATGAGAGGGCTATGCTAAAATAAAAACATCACTCAGACACATGTGGTGTCAGATTCATGAATAGCGGAAAATAGCTTAATAACGAAAGGAAAGTGTTAACCGACTCATAAGAAGAAACATTTATTGTGGTTTATTATGGGAAATGTTATAAATGTATAAACCTAGATATTTTTCAATGTGTGTTTGTTTCAGTGGTAATTCCACTTTTATACAGCATTCGACTGCCTCGGTGGTCTAGTCGCTTGCAATACGGCTGCACATTAGGAGGTCCTGGGTTCGAGTCGCGGGTCGGGCCAATTTTAGTTATCGAACCTTTCTGTTGAGAGAATCTCAGTAACAGCCCGGAGTTGGGAAGTTCACCCCCGTGCCTAGACAGAGCACGTAAAGCCGTTAGTCCTGCTCCTGATTTCTCACCGGTCGTGTCGAATTATCGTCGCAACGGAATTTGAGAGTGAAAGGAATAGCGAGTGCACTTGGGTCTGTGCGTACAGTTGTGCTATAATATCTCTTTCTTCACTACGATGCCCACTGGCTTGCCTCAGTGAGATTGGCCGCGGTGGCCCAATCATATGCGGGGTGCATTATATACGTACATATATGCAAATACTTATATGAATCCAAGCAAGTTATTTACTGTCGTTGCGCGTAAAACAGAGTGATTTTACTATATTTTCTCCGACATTAGAAAAGAGAAAAAATAAATTAAGAAAATGTCCATATAAAAATGGTAGTTTCTCAATTTTTACAATTTCGATGTTCAAATGATATCTACATTAGACTCGACGGCAACAATCTTCTAGTACATTCACTTGGAAAAGTTGGGTTTCTTTGATAAAAAATGATATTGCCTTCTAGCGCATTGCAATTACGAGAGTAATTTAAAATTTTATATTTAACAGAAAACTATGTATTTTATTTATTATATTTATATTACTGTATCTTTTGAGCGCTACTTTCTTTTTACTCTGTACTTAGTTGATATTTTCTTAATTTACTCGATATTTTGTAAATTTAAAGATTCCTTTGACTCTATTTGTTGAAATTTTTGTACGCTGTCGTAACTTCAGACTTTTAATTTAGGTATTTATGAATCAGTCGGAATAATAATATTTTGAGCTAAAGCATTCGTTATAAAAAGTTAGACGTTTCGAATTTTTTTAAGTAACAAGTAAATTTGATATTTTACAAAAAGACGGTCTTGGGATTTATTCCAAACTTAGCAGACTTCTTTCTATTACGCATTTTGTTTAAACTGAATTTACGTAGTGGTTTTAGATATCAATAATTTTTATGGTTACTTTATGAGATGTAGGATCATTCACAGTTTATGAATTAGTTTTGCCCGTGGATTTGCGTAGCTTATGTCTATATCTATATTATAATCTATGTTGTAGCCAAACATCGAAGCCTGTTCAGCGAATCAAACTTGAAAAGCTAACAAACAGACTTAAATTGCTTTCACATTAACTATAATATAAGATATGTAAAAAATTTAGTATTAAAAACTAATGCAACATTTTCTTTTAGATCCTCCAGGTGCTCCCTACATCGAAGGTTATGCAGAAGGAGAGACAGTCAGACGAGGTCAGAGTTTAGAGCTGGTCTGCAGAAGTCGTGGTGGGAACCCACCAGCCCAACTTATTTGGTATAAAAACGGCGAACAAATCAGAATGGCGTATAGGTAAGTTTAAATGTATATATATTTTTCTAGGAACATTAAAAACGCTGTTAAGAAACGGTTAATCAAAATGAAATCGCAAGAAAACCTAAAAAATATGATGAATATTTTGGGACATTAACACACAGTACCATCTAGTTCCATGGTAAGCTACGAGGCTTGTGTTATGGATACCGGATAGTTGATATACTACACATATATAACTTTAAATACATACATATTCTAAATATAATCACCCATTACTGGAATACAAACATTCGTGCTCATCAAACAAATGAATGGCCCCAGCGGGACTCGAACCCGCGACCGCTGGCACAGCAAGTAGGGTCTAAAACTGAGCCAGTGGTGTCCATCATATTAATATGTAATATAGATATGTATTACATTAGTAATTAACGTTATGTATTATTAATAACGTAAAGTGGAAAATGCACTCAATTTTTCTTCTCTGTTGCTAACTTATGACCCTTTTGTTCACTCTGGTGAGTCCTTAGGTGATATTTCATATTGAAAACTTTTTATTACTTATATAATATATATCCTACGTCACTTTTGGATGATAAAGCTTTTCAATAGTGAAAGAATTGTTAAAATTACTTAGAAATTTTAGATTTTATCGATTAAAAACGAAACAAATTTTTACTCTTTGTAATAAAAATAGTTTTTAAAAACTTATAGTGTTTTTGATGATTTAGCCCAATATTTTTACTTTTTATTACGGAAGAAATGTAATAGAAACATTAAATGTTATGGACAAAGTCTTTGGTTACTGCGTAATAGAAACGACTTTGGCAAGTTTTAGATATTTTTTGTGAGGCTCAAAAAACAGCGGGATGGATTAATTTTTATCCCGCTCGAGAAAAAACTTTAGATGGGATTATTGAATAGCCGATTCTAACTGAAAATTTTGAAACAGTATAAACAAAACTATCTTTTCGGATTTTATCCGAAAATTATAAATTAATAAAGGTTTTAAGGTGCTTTGGTGTCATTTTTGTATTATTGAAAATCATTGTATAATTTAGTGGGTAAGTGCTGTCTGTAACAACTATAATGAACTTTGAGACGTCTAAAACCTTAGTCTCTCCGGCGACCATATTGCTGTAAAGCATTCCAAATCAGTAAATCCGCGAAAAAATCCGAAAAGATAGTTTTATTTAAAATGTCAGATATTCGTGTAAGTCTAACAAAATATTATTTTGAAACGGGTTTTCAAATACTCTAAAAATCTATACCATTATTTACAACTGACTAGATTTCGTCCGAATTGAAATTATTCCTTAAACACAAATAAACAAACATTACTTAAGAATAATTATATATATAATATTTACTATTCAATTACTAGCCTTTATTACTTACAAAACTACATTCCCTAATTGCATATATACAAACAGACAAACGTTTTTAACTCTACGTTCTATATATGGAAATATAATTTTCCTTTTCTTTTTCCAGAAAGTCAGTAAATAAAGCGCTAACGTTTCATGGAACCGTTTCATAACTCGGCCAACATCATGTGTATCAAGATAAACGCGCTTTTGTGCTAGATTCCAGCCAATTAAAAACTTTAAAGGCCTTACAAATATAATTACGAATATTAAAAAAAACTATATACATGCAATATTATAATAAAACGAGGTCGAGTGGGGTAACTTTGAATATGTTTATCATACAACACAAGTTTTAGTGTTGTTTTATGATATTTACGAACGCTTATTTTTTGCCTTACGAATGTAATAAGTTGCATTTTTATTGGCTTATTAATTACAGGGTTAAAATAAGCTTTACGTTCTACGCTTGATGTAATAATATAAATTTAAGCTACTTAATAAATGAGAACCTGGGCCACCGAGCTTCTCTCGTAGTTTTTGGTCAAAAGTAAAGTATTTTTTTTAAAAAAACAACTAAAAACTTGAATAAATACAAAACAATTATACTTTTGTTTTCGACCGGGATTCGAACCCGGACATGTATCATTGTGAATCTTGCGCCTCGGCCGCTTGACTATGATGCTTATTGCATGCCCGAGCGTGCGAAATTATCGACCATATTTTGCGTGGAATAATGCACAAACACCACCACCACATGAAAATTCGAAAACACGCGTTTTCCTAGGTACAAGACTAATCTAGATCGCCCCCGAAACTCCCTGTATACTAAATTTCATGAAAGCCGTTTCCGAGATATATATATATATACATATATATATATATATAATATATATATATATATATATATATATATATATATATATATATTATATTTTTATAATATTATATTTTTCTTAATTAGCAGATTTTGACCTTGATTCCAAAAAAGAGGACGTGTTTTGTATGTTTGAGAATTTCAAACGAAATTTTAGCCCTTAATGGCTGTGGTTAAATCCTTTTGACTTAACCCAAACGGGAATCAACCCTACGACTTCATCGAAACATAAAGCTCCTAAAGAAATAACAAAAGCCAATAGCATTTGAATAACTATAAAAATTCAATTAATAACAAAATAACATGAAATAAAAACGAAGATCCTGAGTTGGGGTGAATCCCCCTCGTCCCCTAGACTACCGATCGTATTAAGCTTGCAACAGATAGGGCGTATGTCTCCATGATTTATGTAGTACGCGTAGTGATGTGAGTTAATGCTATCGACATTTGATAGCATAATTTAAATAAAATTGCCGTAATATACACTTACAAGCGACTTGCTTTCTCGATACAAGGGTGCGTCCCTAGTTGATTTTGTATTTCTAATAAAAACAGGTAATGCCTTTTGACATATTTTATTGCTAACAGTAGGCTATGTTCTATTTATGGTCATAGACCATAGTGTATCTGTTGTACTAAACGTCATCTTAATTCGTCTAGCCGTTACAGCTTTAAGTAGTAACGAACATACAAACTTGAGCATTTATAATAAAAAAATATGGATGTGTTTGATTGGATTTATGGTACTTTTGTCGTTATATATCGTTGTGTATTTTGTCGTTATATTTGTCGTATGTCAAAAAATATTTTTTTTTCACAATAAATGTATTGAGTTTGATGTTGTAAGAAAATGTTAAGAACTTACAAAATTACCTTGAAACTTTATTATTTTCTAACATCTAAATAAGACATAATATTGTTTCGAATTTATAAAAATAAAAATATTTATGTTCGTTTGTGCCTAACTGCAAATCTACTAAAGTTGTGCTTAACATAATTTTTATTACTATTCTACATTACACTATTTAATATGGCTGAGTTATCAAATTGTATGGGGGAGTATATAAAAAAATTATATAGCAAAGCTAAGAGAAATACAATAAGCAATAAAAGATAACCGAACTTATTCCAGACAATATATAATGGTCTGCAGTTTTGCACTATAATTGCTAAAAAATGTTAACAAAATCGAAACAATGCTATCGCCTATATTACTTCTTTTATAACATACATTCAAATTTAAATAATGCATGCAAATTACTGTGTAACCGCAAAGCCAATTCTGTAGGAAATACCATTTTCTTGTAAGAGCTCTCAAAATTTTATGTTAGTCGAAAACCTATGTGTATGTAAAATATATTTTTTCTTATACTAAAGTTTTTAAGATTATAGTATTAATATATGAGAGTATTAGAGTGTATAGTATAAACATAAAAAATTATAACGTGTATTTTAAAAGATATGTTTAGAGAAAGAACAATAGTAGTTAAGTAATAGAAAACGAATCATGAGTTTTATAAAATGATCGTTCCTCTATTTGTTTGGACGCATATCACATAAAAGTGTCTGGATTGTAATAGTAGCTTTTGATACTTAAAATAAAACATTTTTTCGGATTTCTTCGTGGATTTTCGGATTTCTTCGCGGATTTTCGGATTTTTTTGCTGATTTTTATTTACGGTAATCATGGTCACGGGAGAGACCTGACCATAATTGCTGTAAAGTATTTGAAACGTCGGGAAAATCCGCGAAAAAATCCTTAAGATAGTATTATTTAAAATGTTAAATATTTGCGTAAATCCAAGAAAATATTATAGTAGCTTTTAATCAACTGTAATGGAACATGTCTAAGCAAATCAAATGAGCCCAAACTCAAAAGTTTTACTAATAGCCATTGAAAAGTTTCACTATAAACCTCTTAGTCCCATCATCAGATTAGCTCGATGGCATTAAATGACTATATCCTTAACCGGATATATTTTCATCCGCAATTAGAAGAAGGCTTAAACTAATTTTCGTGTTTTGAATACGAAGTAAGTGGAAGTGAAGCTAAGCATGTTATGTAGATTAATACCGTTTCAATCGATCAAGTAAATCCCACAATATCTACAGTTTGAGCTTGACGTTTTAAAGACTTCTATGAAAATCGGGAACATGTGAGCTCGTGGGCTAAATAGCAATATGATACATTTATAAATACATTGTGTGCGTGTGTGTATGTGTACGTGTGTCTTTGCGTGTGTGTATGTATTTGCATGTGTGCTTTGTGCGTGTGTGTTCGTGTGTGTGCGTGTGTGTGTATCTGTAAGTATGTTTTTGTGTTTCTTTGTCACTTCTTAACTTCCTTGTTCCCTTTAATTACATAATCTTTATTATTTACTTTTTATTTTTGTGACGATAGAAATCAATATAGTATATATGTATCTATTCTCAGAGTTTAATTAATCTCATCATCATTCAATTAATCTCTTTTTTAAAATTCATCAAATTCTCCTGAGCGACTTAGCTGTGAAATTCATGCATATAAACAAACAATCTTTTATATTAATAAAATCCTATATCGATACTCACAATCTCCACTGTTTGTTTACATCCCTTATAAAATTGTATTAAGACGCGCCTACCGACGACGGAAACTGATTTATGAAACGCTAACTGCACTACCTGACGTTGTAACGTTATCGATTTTATTGCATCCACCTATACTTTAATAGTTTGAACAATATGACTCCATGACTCAATAGTAAAACAGTGAGATTTTATTTAAAATTAACGTATAACAAGTATAAAAAATA